AAAAAAAAAAAGAACCAAAGAACCCAAAATAATGATATTGTTAAGTTGTGTTTGGTTAGTATTTTAGAATTTAATAGATAAAAACGTTTTTGATTGTAGGAATAACCCATAGAAACAGTCCTGCTTCGTATGTAGAATCATTTTATGGTGGTATGGATACGAGAGAGGGGCTAAATTAGTTCAAAGTAACTGTACACCATTATTATTTTTTTAGATTAACATGGGTGTTCGGGCCAGCTTGCGTGCACTATGACTAATCCCATGGACTCTAAAATTAACGAACATGTAACTGTACACCATTATTATTAATTCACCAATATACATGTAATTGTACACCATTATTATTAATTCACCAATATTCAACGTTTTTCAGATCGTGAATGCCAAAAACTTTGAATATTTTGCACACATATTGATGCATTCAAGAATTCAATGCTCGAAAGAAATAATTAACTTGGGAAAGATTTTGCCTTTACAACTTGCAATCAATGGTGCTGTCAAGTGTGGATACTTCGGCGTGTGGTCTCGAGCTTGTATATGTATTGATATAAAGGTTGAAAGTCTGCTGGGCTTTTCAAGAAAAAATATCAAGAGAAGACTTTTGAATTTCACTGCATGTGTTGGAGCATTTTAATGTTATAAGAAGTTTAAAGCTCCTTATATTAAGATTGAGAAAGAAAAATAAAAGGAAGTTGTTAATAATTTAATTGATGGAACCTCTAGTTTAATTAGCAAGATTGTTGGGAATAAAGCAAAGAAAAAATGACTATGAACTAGCACCATTGGTAAACAGAAGATTTGCTTCCTTTATTGATTTCTTGAGTTCAAATTTTAAGATTAATAGACACGAGAGCTTACATGGAATTTATCGACCATCGAAAAATTTTATGAACATAATAGTGGATTTAAAAAAAAAAAAAAGAGTAGAAAAAAAGTTATAGAATCAATATAAGATGTAGCTGCATCTGAATCATATGATCGATGTATCATGTTGTCATAAATTACTCAAGCCATACCATGTGGAATACTCTGTTCATTCTTGAAAAAGTTATCAGGATCAACCTTTGACTTCACTTTCACCAATCTCATAAAATTGTCCTTGAACAACTTGCTGCCATAAACCTTAGCTTTCTCAAAGGTGGTCTGATTGCTAGGATTGCTACCAATATCAATATCTCTATAGTTGAGAAATGCTTCCCTTGGATTTTTGCTCACATATGGAGTCATTGCCTCGTACATTTGTCTTAACAAATTTATATGACGGTTGGTGGCCTCACTTCCTTCTTGATCACTCCAGTCTGTGGAGTACTGAATCTTGAATAGGTTTCCAGCTCTGTGAGGGAATGGAGTTGCCGTAGCCGGAATCTCATCCATTCTTCCTCCATAAGGATTCCATTGCATCCATATGGGCTCCACCTTGATCATCATCTTCCATATGTTCTCCAAACCTTCCTTTGGAATCACAGTTTTTACATAATCAGATTTTCTTTTGAAAAAGCTTGTTTGGGTAGGCCTATCAAGTAGAACATCAAGAGATCTTCCGCTTCGACCGAACCAGTAAAGTGTGGATTCTACCCAACTCATTTCATTGCAGTCTTTTTGTTGCAGACCCAATTCAGGGAATCTCATTTTCATCAAGGGAAGAAGTTTGCTGCTTGGTCCAAGAAATTGGCCAATGAATGAAACACTAATTGTCTTGCTTCCGCCGGAGCCTCCATTGACTACTTGTGGCGAGGCTCTTAGGAAAAGTTCTTGGTCTAGTTTACTAGCAACTTCTTGCCACCGGTAAACAAGATCTGTTGCCCCTTCCTTCAAGGTCTTAGCGACATTAAATGTTGTCACTTTGGGAGGAACCTGAACCAAATTAATCTTCCAAGAAAGAATGACACCAAAGCTTGCACCACCACTTCCTCTAATTGCCCAAAATAAATCTTCTCCCATGGACTTTCTATCAAGGATTTTGCCGTTGACATCAACTAGTTTCGCGTCCACGATATTATCAATCGAAAGACCATATTTTCTCATCATATTCCCATAACCTCCACCACTAATGTGTCCTCCAGCTCCAAGAGTAAAGCAAACACCAGCTGGAAAGGCAAGCACATTGCTCTTCTTGGCAATACTATAGTAAAGTTCACCAATTGTTGCCCCAGATTGAATCCAAGCCATCTTTCTCACAATATCGATTTCGATGGAACGGAGATTGAACATGTCAAGAATGACAAATGGAACATTAGATACGTAGGATAGCCCTTCATAGTCATGGCCACCACTACGGATTCTGATTTGCAAGCCATTGCGCTTTGCACAAATAACAGTTGCTTGGACATGGGATTCATGCATGGCAGCAATTATAGCAAGCGGTTTTGGGGTTGCTGAGGTCAAAAATCTGCTGGCTTTGGCATATGCTCGCAAAGTTGGTTCGAAAGAGGAATTGCTTCTCCTGTAAATGGCTCTGGAGACAGGGTAAGAGGGATGACTATGACGAGGAAGGCACTGTAGAAAATTGTCAAGAGATGTTTCACACGTTGCCAATGATCCGAGTAAAAAAAGAACTAAGAACATAGAGAGTGTTAGAGACATTGAAGCCTTGATCATTTTGAGGACAATGCTTCAGTTTCAAGCTACCTGTACAGACAGACTTCATGCATGGCTGTTGTAATTATATAATGAGAATGGAGAGGGAGCTGTCCAAAGTTTTTTTATTTATTCAAAGTTTTCTAGATAATGATGGAAACCTTGTATGGTTGGAATTTCTATTGATAATCTGAAGGGGCCACTACTCAACAATTTTATATTAAAGTAAAAGCTGGTCCAAATTCCTACAGTGACTGCTTGCACGATTTTTGCTTAGATAAACTTGCAATCATCTTACCTCAGACTTCGAATATTAAATAATCTCTTAGTTGAAAATTTTTCATGGTCACGAGTGGCGTGCTTTTAATGCTGAACACAAATTCTCGATACACGTGAGATATTTTTTAAGGCAAGTTGGTCAGATTTAGATCTATTGACTTTCAAACCATTTTCATTTTATTAAATCTATAAATATTAAAAAAAATATTTATTTTAGTTGTAGTCAATAACCTAAATAACGATCTTCTCTTTTATTATTAAAATCTACTAATTTTTTAATCTCTCAAAATTTTTTATCTAGAATTATATAGAATTTCATATACATAATGTAATTATTCTATATAGTGTATTTTAATATTATTATTGTACACCACCATACACACATAAAAAAAAAATCTATACATATAAAGAGAATAGAAAAAGCATATATTCAAAGCACATTATTAAATCAATGGAGGACAATGATCTTCTAACCATGTTGTACAAAAAATCCACTCAAAAAAATGAATTAGTTATTTATAACTTATTCAAAATAAAATTAAAATAAATATCTAGAAAAGAGATCAAGACCTTAAAAAATAACCATTCAATTACACAACTATTAAAAAATAACATCCTCAACTCATCTTTTTTTTTTTGGATGTCTATAAATGTTATATCCTAATTATCATTAATTTGATTCACTTAGTTAACTCAATTAACTTGGAGGTTAAACTATAAAATTTAAAATATTTAGTTTAACACATTCTTCAAATTAAAAGAATGGAAAAAAGAAGAATGGAAAAAAAGAGAGACCTATTCAACTTTATTTTGAAGCAATTTTCAGATAAAAATACTTAATCTTAACAAAACAAATTGCCAATATTATTTGTGAACTTCCATAAGTAAAAAAAAAACCCTAATTTTTTTTTAGCTTCTTTTATATGATACCTACTAAAAAAAAAAGACTTAAAAGCTATAGAAGATTATAAGAAAAAGATTTATAACCTTGTACTTGTTTATAGAATTATCTGTATTAAATTTAGCTATATAAATCTACTAACTCCTGTAGTCTTTTCTTGTAAAGGTTTGTCTACTAACATTTAGGTATCATTTTAAGCTTTTCTTTCATTGCTTCAATTGATTTGTCATTCTTTATTGTCTTTTCAAACTTTGCAAGCTTATAAATAACAATGTTATAAACATCATATAAAGATCTTGTACCTTTGACTAACTTATCATCAATATTGTTATTAACATCTTCCTAATTTGATGACTCTTGCTTCTCATCTTGTTCCTCTTATTTTTTTTATTTGTTTTTTATAAAGTTAACTTCTCTCTACTTATTATAATTTTCTCATTTTATGGTTGGAAAATTTTACAGGTTTTGGATGGATTGTTGTATCCAATGAATACTCTTGGTTCAACTTTTCTATCCAACTTGTGTCTTTTAACATGTGACACGTGAATAAAACAAAGGTAACTAAAAGTTTTAAAATGTTGCAAGTTTGTTTTGTATCTAAACCAATCTTCAAATGAAGTTTCTTTTTGCAATGCACTGGTTGGTAGCACGCTCAGTAAATACATTATTGTGTTTGTAGTCTCAGCCCACAATTTATTTGGAGCTCTTTTTATGCAGCATGTATCTAGTCATCTCCATGATGTATTTTTTTTTTACTCACATCATTTTATTGTGGTGTGTATGGTTTTGTAAGTTGGTGTTCAATAATTAGATTCAATACAAAATTATTGAAAGCTTCCACTAGTATATTCATTTCCATTGTTAGACCTTATAGTTTATATCTTCTAGTCGCTTTGATTTTTCACCCATATTTTATACTTCTTGAATACATTAGTAACCTTAAATTTGAATTTTATAAAATAAAGCTATATAATACAGAATAATCATCAATAAAAATTATATAGTATGAATGACACGATCAAAGAGTTGATGTCTTATCCCAAGTGCAGGAGTGTCAAAGTAAAATAACCCGGCAAGACCGGGGTCGAACCACAGGGAGGTGAATTATATAAATTACAAATAAAGAAAAAGATTTAAAGAGAAAAAAAACAGAAAGGAGTTGAAGAAAGTTTTGGGATGTGATATTGATGTAAGGATTAAACAATAACAAAACATATGTCAAGGTTATAGGATTCACTAATGGTATTTCAAATAAATATAATATAAACTCTTTTTATTACTCAACTAGAAACCACACACAAAGGAGGTTCTAATCGGATGATTTCTCGTTATTAGCTCATTATAAATTACTAACATGATCATATTAATTATCTTATATAAGTAATACCATACTTATAAATATCATCAAGCATTCATGTTGCTAGTTTATGTTAACAACAAATCAAGTTTCTATCATAATAACGATTTCGGCCGAAAACTATGAAAGATCAAGCATTTGATGTACCAAATATTATACAACACAAATCTAAATTAAACATTTAATAAGCAAGGTATTAAGAATTAGTAAGATAAAAAGATAAAACATGTTAATAACAATCTTTCTTGGATATAAACATTTAAAGCTCATGTTGAGTTTATATTATACCTATTCTAACACCATTAGAGAAACCTTTTCACCTTGACATAATTAACTTAGCTAAACATTAAGAAGGAGAAAAACACAAATAAACAATATAAGAACATAAACATAATATAAGCTAACTAAGTATAGGAAAGGAAATGAAAGAGCATAAACAAGAGATTACTATAGCATAAAAGAAAACTTGAACATTACAAAGATGTAGAGAGAAAGCAAGAAGATAACTTTGATCTGAAAATTAATATGACTAAATACATGGACAATGCCTCCTTTTATAGGCTAAGTTTCAGAACTATTGATTGATTGAAGAATTGGTGGGCATCCATTGATTTGGTGGCTGGTTTTTGACATTAATGGCTGCTGGTTTTTTGATATTGTGGGCTGATTTTTGATATTGTTGGCTGGCCAAAACGTCATTGCTCACATCAGAATTATAGCCAACTGAATTGTGGAATCTGTGGGCAATTGTCTCAGCTTTCCATAAAAAAAAACCAGAGCTCATTTGGACTTCTAGAACTCAAGATATGAGCCAAAAACCGAATAGTGCTTGAGCTGCAGGACAGCTTCCGACGTCTTCGTTGTTGCTAAGATTTGGGCTTGAAAACGGCAGAACTGAGTCTTTGACTTCATATGAAAGTTGTAGGTCTATGTCTTACCTTTCCATCGATATAAAATGGACCTAAATCTGATATCTACAGCTCCAGATATGATCAAATTACTGAACGGTGTTCGAGTTTGGAATGCACCAGCAACACTTTGCTAAGTTTGGCCTTCTTTTTATCCTTTCAATTTCAATCCTTAAACTCATCAATCAATCCTTTTATTTATGTGATAGACTTGCATTTAGGATGAACATTTATCATGAATTAAAGGTATATTATATTTTGACTTGCTAATATAAAACATGCTTTTGTTAGGGAATTTAATGATACTTTAGGTGCAATATGATGACATAAATCCTTAATGAGAATGCACTTTTAAGTACTAATCAATGAATTACAATTTAATGAAGTTATTCTCTGAGGATCTCTAATGTTAGCATTTATGTGTACTAGTTGAAGTTTGTTGTTGATCTCTATGTAGTTTAAGGAAAAGGTCTTCTAGTTTTTTTTTATATATATATTAACAAGTTATAGAGTTTGTCAATTTTTTCTCTAGCTGTGGAACACCTTTCAGAAGATTATGTCTCTGCATGTATATCAATCCAACATGATTTAAATGCTCAAGCCTTTTATGCCATAATTCTTCATTGTCTGTATTTATGGAAAAAGCAATGTGCTCCTTTATTAGGTTTAGAGTAAAACTTTTTGCTTTTATTTTTACTTTGAATATTTTGTTACTTATGTTGTCTTTGATCAAGCATTATTTGTTTTCAAAAATAACTTGTTTTGGGGATTTGATTTTTGTCGAAACTACATAAGCTATCTAACACCAAGCAAATTTTGTTAAATGTCAGGCACATATAAAATATCATAAATATATTTCAAAATTGATAGGCTATTTATAGCTACAATTTCTTTACCTTTGATAAAAAAATATTCACTATTTCTAATTTCAACATTGAAAATAGTAGTTTTGTCAAGCTTCTTGAACAACTCCAGATATTTTGTTATGTAGTTTGTGCAACCACTATAAATTAGCCAGGAATTACTTGAATTGTTACTTGTTGCAAACAATGTTGCAACAAACAATTGCTCTTCTACTTGTTGTTCAACAATAAGAATTGCCTTTTCTTTGTATTATTGTGATCTACAGATTCTCTTCATATGTCCAATCTGATTACATTTCCTGCATTTGATATCTAGTCTCCACCAACACTTTCTCTATTAATGATTTATTTTATTATTATTATAGCAAGGACAAAGTGAATATGATTCTACCTTGTTTCTATCATTTTAAGTTCTTTTTTTTCTTGTTAAATCTCTTGTCTTTGCCTCCTCCAGAGTGTAGAGCCCTTGCTTGAAAAGCTTCCCATATAGATTCTGCATATCTCATCAATCTTCTTCATTTCTACACTTGTAACATATTTACTAATTCTCCTATAAATATACTGGTTAAGTCTTTTAACTCTTTTAATAAAAAAATCTTAGACTTATATTTTTCAGGTATGTTAACTAGTAATTTTTTGCACAATTTGTTCATAAAAAAAAATCCTTTCTAAGCAATCTCACCCTATTTATCATGCTTATTGATGATTCTTGTGAATATTATTTTTGACACAACACTATATAAGCATATTTTAACTTTGGATTTCCTTGTGAATTTTTTGGTTTTGTATTTGG